GGGCACCAGCGGGGAGCTGCGAGCGCGGCGGATGGCAACATGCCACGACAAGAGGTCGGCGCGGCGCGCCTCGCCACGCACCGCACACCCCACCTTTGCGTTGCGCCCCGGCCCCTCGCGCGCGCTCGACGCGGCGCTGTCCTGCTGGCGTTTGGCATAATACACGCTCATGAGGTCGCCGCCCGGCTGCAGCTGCACCTGGCCGTCGAACGTCGCGATAGCGAGATCTGTGGGGCGCGGGTGGGGGCGAGGGGCGTGGGGGTTGCTGGGGGGGCTCGGCCGCGCGAGGCAAGCAGTCGGCGGCGCTCCAGGCAAGCACACGCGAGGCCGGCGTCTCGCGTCACCGCGGAGGGGGGGGAGGGGGGTAGCGGCGGATGAGTGCCGCCGACAAGCCCAAACTCTTGCAGCGCCGCCCCCGCCGAAATATCGCGGGAAGATATTGCCGCCGCGCCCCGCCCCCGGCCGCCGCGCCCCAGCCCAGAGCCGCGCACCCGCTTCGGCCTTTGTGCTGTAGGAGACGTAAGCGTAGCCGGCCGCCTGGCCTGAATCGCGATCGTACACGATTCGCGCCTCCGCCACCTGCGTGTGTGGCCGCGCACGCACAGGCGGCGAGCGTGCACCGTTAGCGCCGGGCGCGTAATCTGAGGCGGGAGTGGCGCTGGGTGACGGCGCGGGCAGTGTGCCCAGGGGCGTGGCGTCAGCAAAGCCGCCGCGAGCGGCTTGTGGGCGCGCGGCAGCCGTGCTCGCGCGTGAGTGCGCGCGTGGGCTTGCGGCGGACGCACGCCCTCCCGGCCACGGCGGACACTAGCCCGCCTTGCTGGCCAACCGCGGGCGAGCGGCTGCTCTCGTACGCGCCCCTTGCTGCGCACCTTGCCGCAGAGCTCAAACAGCTGCCGGAGCCGAGCATCTGTGAAGTCGCCGGCGGGGATGCCGCAGACTTTCAAGCGTGAGAGGTCGCTCGCTCCAGGCGCCACCGACAGGCCGCGCTGCGTGAGCGCCGTCCCTGGAACCTGGGCGAGCCCCAGGCCAGGCTGATGCTGTAGCTGCGTTTGTTGATGTTGCTGAGGCGCAAAGCCCGTCTGCAGCGCCCCGGTGGGGTGTCCCTCCGGGTGGCCTGGCCCCAGCGCCACCGTGGGGGTGACCTCGTAGAAGCGATCCATCTAAAATAGGCACACGTGGCGGCGCCAGGTCCCGTCTAGACGGTCATTTCATAACTCGATCACAGCCGGATTGCTTTGCTGAAAAGTAGCAAAAGAAGGTCCTCAGTACGTTCCTATAACTAATCGTATTCGTCCGTCACAAAGCTAGAGTGTCGCGTTATAAAGGAAAGCGACAGCTGGGCTGTGCTGCCAGTTAGCACCCGACTGCCCGGTGTGTTTTCAAACGGGGAACCGCTGGACACATGTAAATCGATAGAATTGTTTGCGTGTCTAGTGGAGGGTTACTCCAGCTCCATGTGCACACTGGTGCCTGCTGCGCCCATCCAAGTGCACGGCGTTCCTCGCAGCTCAGCAGCATAGCCAGGGGTGGCCAGCGCTCCACGCCTCTCCACCGCGCGTCGGCGGCCGTGCGACAGGCGTGAGATGATCGGCAATGATGAACTTGGTTCCCCATACTGCCTGCTCAGCGACGTTGGTGGGTTCAATCGCGGCGCACACCTCACAAGGTGCTGCAATGCCACCGTGAGCTGTCGTTCTGGTGTGGATTAGCGACGCCGTGGGAGCATCATCTGCAGCAGCTTCCCTCCATATTCAAGGGTTGAATGTGGAAAACACCAATACTTGAGAATTGCAAATTACAATGGGCCCATCACCCACACAGCGAAACAGCACCTGCACGCTCACTTTCAAATCCTTTGCAATATCATAGGAAGGAATCGGCTTCAGCGCCGGTAAGACTGTTGGCCACGCATCACTCATTACCATCCCTGCCCACAAAATCGGGCCCACCGCTGCGCCGCCTGAGGGACTGCAGCGCGTGCGTCAGGTGGTTCATTCTGGCCAGCAGCTCGTTCGCGACGCTGAGCTGCTGCCCCAGCGCGTCGTTCCGCTGCCGCAGCTCGGCCGCCTGCTCCTGGGAGTGGTGCAGCTGCCGCCGCAGAATCCCGTCCTGGTCCCGCGCCGCTTGCAGCTGCTGCCGCAGCGCCGCGGCCTCGCGCCCGAACGCGGCCGCCGCCGCCTGCGCGGCGGCCGCGGCCTGCGCGGCGGACGCCGCCGAGGCAGCGGCCGAGGCGGCGTCGGCGCTGGTGTCGGCGGCGACGTCAAACGCGGCGTCCCCGGGCGCGGCGTCCGAGGCGCGCGGGGACAGCGGCGTCGTCGCGGCCGCCAACGGGGCGTGCCCCCGCAGGCGGCTGGACGAGCGGGGTCCGGCGGCGGCGGCGGCGCCGCTGCTGGGCGCGGCGCCGCCGGCGGACGAGCTGAGAAACTGCAGCCGCTCCGCCACCAGCCCTGGCTCCACCAGCGCCGCCGCGTCGGCGCCGCCGCGGCTGCCGGTCCGCTCGGGGCTGGCTGTCGGCACGCGCTCGGCGCTGCTCGCCCAGATGTCAAGGACCGGCACCGCCCGCCGCGCTGGCGGCGCCCCGGCCGCGCCGCCCTCGGCGCTGCCGGCGCCGCCCGCGACGCCGCTGACGCGGCGGCTGCCGCTGCCGCCGGACGCCTCCACCTCGTCCAAGTCGCTGGACAAGGCGCTGCGCCACCCGGACGGGCCGTCGCCGGGCGCCGCCCCGTCCAGCTGCCGCCGCACTGCACGCGAAAGGGCCCCCAAGCTGCCCTTGCGTTTGGGCTTGACGAGCTGCGGGGAAGATGCGGCGTCCGTGCTACCGTCCGCGCTGGGCTGCTCGTCCTCTGGGTGCGTGAGGCCGGCCTCATCATCCCTGCTGCCTGTGCCCAGCGGGCCGGGCTCCACGCCGCCCGTGGCGCCATTGCCGGGTCCAGCAGCTGGGGGTTCACCGGGGTTGCTCGGGTCGCTGCTGCTGTTTTCGCTGGACCCGCTGTCAATCACTTTTCTGATGGTTTTGCTGCTGACTGCGCTGGCCTCGCGCTCCGGCCTTATTTCTGGGGTCGCCGGCACGCACTGCTGCTGCTCCTGCTGCTCCTCGCTCCTTCGCCACTCCCTTGGTGTGCTCTCGTCTGATGCCTGCTGCTGCTGCTGCTCCTGCAGCTGCGCCTGCAGCTGCTGCTTTGGCTGCTGCTGCTTTTGCTGCTGCTGATGATGATGATGATCCGGGTGCTGCTGCAGCTGTTGCTGCTGTTGCTCCTCCTCCTCCTGCTGCTGCTGCTGCTCCTCCTGCTGCTGCTGCTGCTGCTCCTGCTGCTCCTGCTGCTGCTCCTGCTGCTGCGGCTGCTTGGCTTGCTCTACGTGTTGATGGAATTGCTGTTTCTGCTGATCTGGTAGTGGCTGCTCCCGAAGATGTTGTGGCTCCTGACCCTCCAACTGCTGCTCCCCTTGAGGCAGCAGCTGCACCACCGGCTCTGGCTCTTGCACCTGCTGCGCCTTGTGCAACACTGTTGCGGGCGCCCGCGTTTCAGTGGACTCCAGCATGGCTCTCAGCCGCCGCACCTCCGCCTCAAGCTCCTGCACCCGGCTAAGCGCGGCGCGCGCGCGCCCAGCCGCCTCCTGCAGGCGCCCCTCCAGGCCGGCGGCTCGCTCCGTGTTGGCACGCAGCTGCTCGTCCGCCTCCTCGAGCTGCCGCCTCAGCTTCGCGGCGGCCTGCGCGCCCGCCGCACCCTTCTCGCGCTCCCGCTGCAGGTCGGCCGTCGCGGCCGCGAGCTGCGCCTCGAGCGACTCGGCCGCCGCCCGCTGCTCGCGCAGCCGCTGCTCGGCGTCCGCCCGCTGCCGCTCGTCGTCCGCTTGGTGCTGCTGCAGCCGCCGCTGCGCCGCCGCCAGGTCCTCCAACGTGCCAGTCAGAGCCTCTGCCAGCTTGGCCCGCGCCTCGAGCGCCGCGGCGTGGCCGTCGCGCTCCTCAGAGAGCCTCGCCTCCAGCGCCGCGAGCGCCTCTTCCTGCTGCCGCAGCCGCTCGTCCGTTGCGGCCCGCATCTCCTTACTGTCAGCGCGCAGCAGCTGGCTCTCCGCATGGTGCCGCAGGCTGTCCGCCTCACGCTGCTCCAGCAGCCGCTGCGCCGCCGCGGCGTCCGCCGCCGCCTGCGCCGCCTCGGCGGCGCGCTGCTCGCGCTCGCGGTGCAGCTGGGCGGAGAGCCCCTCCAGGGAGGCCCGCTGCTCCTGAAGGTCCCTCTCCGCCGCCGCGCCGCGCCGCTGGCCCTCGTCCCGCTGCTCTTGCAGCTGCCGCCTTGCTTCCGCCAGGTCAGCCTCGGCCCGCTGCAGCGCCGCCGCGTGCTCGTCCCGCTCGCGGGACAGCCGCTCCTGCAGGCCGGCCAGGCGCTGCTCGCCCTCTCTTAACTGTGCTTCAAACTGCTGCCTCACGGCCCCGGGGCCGGCCTCCGCAGCTTGCAGCGCTGCCGCGTGCTCGACCCGCTCTTGTGACAGCCGCTCCTGCAGGGCTTGCTCGCCCTCTCTCCGTTGCTGCTCCAGCTGCTGCCGGGCGGCTGCCAGGCCGGCCTCTGCAGCTTGCAGCGCCGCCGCGTGCTCGACCCGCTCTTGTGACAGCCGCTCCTGCAGGGCTTGCTCGCCCTCTCTCCGCTGCTGCTCCAGCTGCTGCCGGGCGGCTGCCAGGCTGGCCTCTGCAGCTTGCAACGCCGCCGCGTGCTCGACCCGTTCTTGTGACAGCCGCTCCTGCAGGGCTTGCTCGCCCTCTCTCCGCTGCTGCTCCAGCTGCTGCCGGGCGGCTGCCAGGCTGGCCTCTGCAGCTTGCAGCGCTGCCGCGTGCTCGACCCGTTCTTGTGACAGCCGCTCCTGCAGGGCTTGCTCGCCCTCTCTCCGCTGCTGCTCCAGCTGCTGCCGGGCGGCCGCAAGGCCGGCCTCTGCAGCTTGCAGCGCCCCTGCGTGCTCGACCCGCTCCCGCGCCAGCTGCTCCTGCAGGCTTGCCACATGCGGGGCGCTCTCATCGGCCTCCCTGTCGTCGGTCCACGGCTGCTCCTGTGCCTGCGGCAACGCGGGCCGCACCTGGCCCTGCCTGCTGTCCCCTCGCTGCCGCCCCTGAGCATCCGGCTGCGTCTGCCGTCCCTGCGCTTTTTGCCCTTTCACGGCCTCGAGCTCAGCCATCAAATTAGCCAGCGCGATCCTGTGCCGCTGCCGCTCCTGGGACAGCTGCAACTCCAGCTTCTCCGTGGCGCCGCGCGCCTCCCGCAGCTGGCGCTCCAGCGCTGCCTGCTGCCGCCGCGCGTCGGCGCGCGCCTCCCTGAGCTGGCGGTGGGCGTCGGCAGAGCCGGTGGCCGCGTGCTCGAGCGCCACCTGTTCATTGAAGCAGCGCGGGTTCACAGGCACTCGAGTTTGCACAGGATTCAATGGCGCGAGCTCAGGCATACATCGTTGTTGGCTTGGCGTTGGCAGCATCGCCAGGCGTTTGCGTGGACGCCGGCCATCCCAAGAATTAGCACATGCAGGCAACGAGTCAGCAGCAGTGCGCTCCCCACGACCGCCCCGCGCCGCCCACCGCATGCTTCTGGCTGCGCTCCGACAGCATCGACTCCAGCACCAGCACCCGCGCGCGCGCCTGCTGCAGCTGCTGCTCGACCGCCGCCCGCTGGCGGCGTGCCTCGCCGCGCTGCGCCGCAACCTGCCGCTGCAGCGCGGACAGGTCGGCGGCCGCCTCCTCCAGGGCCGCGGCGCTGCGGCGGCGCTCGGCCGAGAGCTGCGTCTTGAGGCTGGAGGTCGCCGTGGTGCGCGCCAGGACGCCAACCACCGTCGCCGCGCCGACGGCGCCAAAGCCCCAGAGCATGGTGCCCGCGCCCTCCATGTCTGAGGCGATGGGGGGCCGGCGCTCTGGCCCGTTTCAGCGTCGGTACGGGTGGGCGCCTGCGCGCCGCTGCGCCGGCCTGTGCCACCTGAACGCTGCGTAACAGCTGCCGGAGTGCCGCGCCGCCCCGCTGCACTGAAACCAGGCGGATAAGAGGCTATGCAGGTTTGAAGCACCTCGAGCGGAGCTGCTGGGCTATGCAAGATGCCGCGAAAGGTGAGAGGTTGAGAGGGGTAGGGGTGAGGGCTGCGAAGGATCCAGCCTGCCGGCACGGCGCCGATGTTACAACAGAGCGCGATGAGGCTGCGACATAATGCGATGGTGCCCGCGAGATCGTCATTGATATCCACCCAGACACCCTCTGATAAAGAGCAACCCAGCTGAGAAATTCATGTTGATATTGGCGACAAAAACATTTGTGTCACAATCGCAGTTGACCTGGTTGTGCATAATGGCAAGATCGTGCCGCAGCAGGTCGTTGTGCGCAGTGACTACCGGTAGCTTACGCCGTGTAGGCGGAAAAATTCGTTTACGAATGTCGCAGCTCCCTTCTCACAACACTCTTGAGCTTTTGTATACATTGGACAGGCCAAACATCCGAGAGATCGATGAGCTTTGACCGCGGCGATGCGACTGCACCGTATTAGCTGATAGGCCTCTCGGGCCGTTCAGCGGAGTCACAAAATGACATCCTGAAGAACACTCCGATCACGCAAGGGCCCTGAACCACGAGGAAAAGCCAGCAGGTGTCGCAACGCTCACTGCATAGGGGCGCGTGGGGCGCGCTCCGCTGCTGTTTCACGGCGGCCACCTACGCGGGAGCAACGGCACGTGCCGCGACATGGCGTCACCTGGCAAGGGGGATATGTCGATTGCAGTCGCTCATATCACAGTGTGCGACGAGCTAGGATGCCCCCCATGCGACGAGTTCGTGGACGCAGTGTGAGTGTGCCAGCACGCAGCATGGCATGGTTCAAGACGTTGCCGCACATCATGTCACCGCCCTGTGGCTGACGCTAGAGGAAAGCGAGCACGCTGTCGTGTTAGCACGATACACCGCTGCTTCCACCTCGCCAACGGCCGTCTATGGCTCTGCTATGCACTTCAGGCGCGCTGGCAGCTCTGCGCTGAAGCTGCCTGCCCTGGCGAGCGACAGCACGCTGTTCGCTACGGCGTCCCTGCTGCCATACACCAAATTTGAAGAGATTGACCTGTCGGGTCTGCGGCTGGTGAGCGGGTCGCGCGCACGTGCGGTCTGTTTCCTGCAGCAGACGCCCCTCGCACCGCAGCGCGCCCTACATTTGTGGCGCTCAAGCCCTGGCACATGCGCCGTACTTGCGCACCCATATGGCCGCCTCCACCACTGCAGGGTTTTGAGGGCTGGCAGGCATTGCTTGAGGCGTGCTCAAAATGCCTTGCCCTACGGGTCTTGAGCCTGAAAGGCTGTATCCTGGGCGCACTGGGTGAGCAGTTCCTACTTGTCAGCTTTGGCTCCGCCAGAGCCAAGCGCTGCAGCAATGGGGCACAAAGACGGCAGCTTGGGCAAGTTGCTTGCGATCAGAAGGGCGCCACAGGCAGGTGCAATGCTGAGGTGTGCTCGTGGTAGGCCGCAGCGGCTGGCAGCGCACCACGGCTCGCATCGTTCGACAGCTTCTGCTCAGGCTGCGTTCCTTTGGGTCTCCACACACCTGCAGGCCACGACGCGGTGCAGCAGATCGCGCAGCTGCTGAGCAGGTGCCACGTCGGCGTGCTGGACGTTTCCCAGAACGGCCTGGTGTGTGGCGCCTCAAAGCTGACAAGGGTCGAATGACCCACGCCAGTGGACTTCAAAAGATATACTTAAAAATCATGTCTGCAACAGCAGCAGCAGCAGCAGCAGCAGCAGCAGAAGAATGGAGAGATTCCAGGACGGGTGCAAGTTCCCTTGTGCGCCCAATCACACCCCGTCTCGCTGCCGCACCAACCCCGCACCACACCGTGTTGCCTGCAGGACGACGTCTTCGCATCTGCGCTCGCGCTCTCGGGCGCCGCCACCGGCGCGCGGCTCGCTGTGCTGGACCTCTCCGATAACGCAGTCGCCTGCGCGGGTGCCGCCGCGCTGGCGGCCGCTCTGGAGGGCGCGGGGGCGCGCTGCAGCCTGCGCCAGCTCGACCTGGGGTTCAATTCAATCGGGGACGGCGGTGCTTGCGCCCTGGCTGGGGCCCTGGCGGCGACGGGCATCATGTCGCTTGAGCTGGAGGGCAACCAGGTGAGAGCGAGGGCCCTGCGGCTACCCGCCGGCCGGCCGATCGCGTTGACTCCCGGGGCAGGAAGAACGATTGAGGCAGGTCCAGGCCCCGGGAGGCGGCGGCCAGCCCGCGTGCCGTTATTGCGGGAGTGATCGCGGGCTTTGGACGAACAGTCATGGCACTGCCGCCCCTCCTGTCCTCGGTTGTAGGTCGGGGACGAGGGGGCCGGCGCACTAGCGCAGGCGATCCAACGCGCGGCGGAGCTGCGGCGGCTCAACCTCAACTTCAACGCCTTGACGGGGCGGGGGCTGGCGGCGCTTGCGGCGGCGCTGTCGAGGCGCCCAGGTGCGATGCGTCTCTGGCCGCGGCGGCAGGACGGCCGCCACCTGCTGTATGCAAACGCTGCTTGCTTGTGCAGCTGCAGGCTTGCAGCCGCCACATAGGATCCGAGGGGGGCGTTTGGAGCATCTACTGGCTGCCCTCACTATTCCCGCCCCGCTCAACCCTCCACCGCAGGCACGCTCCAAGAGCTTGCCGCGGCAGGCGCCTCCGACCCCGGCCGCTTGGACGGCGCCGCCGCGCTGCTGCACGCCGCCGCGGAGAGTGGGTGCTCTCTGCAGCTGCTGGATGTCAGGGGGGTGCCCCTGTGCGGCGCCGGCCTGGACGCGCTGTGCGCGCTGCTGGCGGCGCCGGGCTCGCCGCTCGCGTCGCTGCGCGCTGACGTGGCGGGCAAGGACGGCGCGGAGCGCGTCGCTCAGGCGAGCGGCGGCGCGGCGGCCTGGGGGGCGTGCGCGGAGGCTGTGCGCTGCGCGCGCTGGGGCTTCCCCGCTCCTGCTCACCCACCCACTCCGCCGCCCCCCTAAGCTTCCTGCTCCTTCACACACGATTGGACTAGCCGGCCCATCGCCCAACCCCAGCCCCCGCCACCTCCCACTTGACCTGATGTCAGGTCCTGCCGGCCAACGGCACCCTGGCCAACCTCATGCTCGGCGGCCCCGTCCCAGAGCACGTCCTCTCCTTCATCGGCGCCGCGCTGAGCGCCAACGCGCTGGCCCGCCGCGACGGCCCGGCGGGCAGCCCCCCCAAGCCGCCGCAGCTTCAGCCGCAGCTGCCCGCGCCGCCCCGGGGCCGAGCGCAGGACGAGCAGCAGCGCGAGGAGGCGCCGCAGTGCGCCGCGCCGGCGG